GGCACAACGTGTCTACGTACATGCACTCCCTTAGGATAGGTTGAGGGAAAGGGGTAGCAAGTAAGAAGTAAGGAACAGAGGTGGAGAGGCACAACGTGTCTACGTACATGCACTCCCTTAGGATAGGGTTAGGGAAAAGAGTAGGAACTAAGATGTATGCGCCACATCTATACCATGAGTGCATTGCTCCTAAAAAGTCTTTAAACGGGGGTATTAATAGTTTCAGCAACACAGCTGAGAGTTAATGATGTCGGCTGGTCCTGGGGACATGTAGACAGATATTCTTGTCACCTGTCAATCATAGTAGGTCTCCTATTTTTATTTGTGTTTAAGTGTTTGCTAAGTATAAATGTAAGTTGCCATGCCTGCAGAGATCCTCACAACAGCCCAGAGGTAAAAACTGGCTTATTAGTGCATCTTTTATAAGAGGTATGTGTGTAGGACTGCATTTCTGACAGTGGTTGTCTGAAAGCTTAGAAATATTTATCTTGAACTATGTTGCTTGGCCTCTTGTAGAACCTCCAGTGTAATTTTGCTGAAATGATTACGCAGTTCAGGGTCAGGTAAGGTAAGTGCAATAGTGGTAAAGGAAAGTTTTTGTTGTTTTCATGCTGGGCTGCCTATATCATTGGGATTGATCGAACTCGACTCTCACACTGTAGAGGTTTCTGTTTATTCAGTTTGCCGGGAGCTGAGTTTTGCTAATAGATGAGCTGTCTTCTTGTCCGATTGTATTTTCTAAGCTTTTATTCCCTATGTCTGGACTTTTAACTTTTGCATGCCCGGGGCGGAAACTACACATCAAAATTGTATTTTCAGAAATGTAAATAATGCTCTGTCCCTGTCAGAAAGTAATACACTAACATATGATCAATTACTGTAAGCTGGACTGTGTTCTCTAAGACTGTGTGTTATTGCATTGGAAGGATTGATTTCAGCTTTTTTGTGAGAGCTTGGTTGATCATTTTGTGTTAGATAGAGAACAGTGCCTCCAGCCACAAGAACAGAGAAGATCGATGGCATTGACAATAGCAATCAACTGTCAAATGATCAAACAAAGTCCATGTTAAAAATAAACAGAAAAGAAAAGCAACTAAAACTCTTCCAGATTGAACTTTAGATAAATCAAATAAGATTAAATTAGATTTATTTTATTGTTATTATTCACCCACACACTATCTATTAAAGCCAATTTCAGTCACATGAACTCCACCTCCTATGCTATTTGATTCACAGAATACAATGTGTTTTCAAGATATTTAATATGAGTTTGATAAGGGAATTGAAGAGGAAAAGGCAATGGTTTTTTATTTTATCTTGCATGACTATGTCAAAGGAAAGCGAGCAATGCCAACAGCACTTACACATGCAGCACCGAATCTACGATAGCGCGGTAAGTTATTATTTTATTATGAATTACAGTCTCCGCATGCACATCCCCTATCTACAAAGATAGCTTACATATAAACACCATACTGTGCTGTGCTCATGTGCTTTGTGAATTATGAGCAAACACACATGCACACAAAGGAATATGCTATTGATATGTATGAGCTTGGACTACATGCTGTGCATCACAAACAAATGCACACACCCATACACACTCTCTAGCATGGATAATATAGGACATGAACTCACAGCACCCTAGTCTATATGAATAGAAAATTACATGTGGATGTACTGGGCGTCTTCAACTTGCATCTATTCGAAAGTGTGCTTGTGAAGGAAGTTTTGAGAAAGGAAATACCTTTTTAAGACCAATTCAAACACAGAAAAGAACACATTTGACATCGGATAGGCATGTTTCCTTTGCTTATCCACTAATGCACCCACAATATGCTCCTCTCCTTCTCTCGTCTCCTCTCTATTTGGCAGCTGGCCAGTTTCCTAACATGGTGATGGAGCAAAAGAAAATTGATTTCTAAAGAGCACTGTCTGCTATTCCCGGAAATGAAATATGCAACCAGTTATTAGTCTAACACTGATATTAACATAACACGACAACCGTGTCGAGATATATATTAAAGATGTCTCTCTTGTTTCTCTTGAGAGATACATGAAATAGTCTAAGACTGATAAACTGACACTTTGCTAAAGCATGCCAAATCCTTATCAGCACTGCACAATTGTGACAATATTGGTTTTGTTTGAGAGAAAAAATAGGCACAAAAAGCTCTTTGGGAAAGGTTGGCATCGCACTGATGCTGCTTCAATATCTTGATCATGAGGACAGGCACAGCGGGTGGTTCCATATAAGCTATTATGCTGCTATTAATGAATGTACACCAAGAAAGGTCAAATGGCCCACACACTGATTTACACGGACCCACCAACACATTAACACAGATGCACTCGAGCAAAGACGTGCGTGCACACAGACAGCAGAAAGGTCACAGCATACGGTGTGTGTGAGAAACAGATATTTGAAGAAGATATGCTGCCTGTTGCTATGGAGCACTCCTGGAGGAAAACATACACACACAAAAGACACACACCTACAAATGATGCGCTATCAATCTTAAAGAAACTAGAGCAATTGCACGCCTATGAACAAAGGCATCAATCAGGAATCAATCCATGTCCTTTAAAAGCAAAGAAGCGTTTGAGGAGCATCACCGCCTCAATTATTGCTCTCGGACTGTGTGTGTGTGTCTATCTTTGTACGTGTGCGTGTGCGTGCAAGCACTTTATTTGTATGTATAGAAGGAAAGCGAGCACTTTGCAAGAACAACATCACTTTTCCTTTTATTCCTTCAGGACTGGTTAAATTATGCCAGTCTGTTAATCAGATTCTCCCCCAGATGCAGTTCAGCACCTCACGAGAGACAGAGAGAGGAAGAGTGAAATAGGCTTCTGTACTTCTAGATGGCTCCGAGCTGGAAACAGCTTCACTGCATATGTTCCACATTATGAAAAACATGTTAATTAACCTGCTTTATTTTATTTTGTATTTTTTGCCCCTCTTTAAATGTGCACTTAGAGTATTAGCTCTAAAGTACCCTATAGGGCAACACATCCTAATTACATATACATTTACAATACTGCTCTACAACATATTCTACAGTATTTAACAATAATAAGTAATTTACAAGGAAAATGCCCAAAGTTTGCTGGTTCCAGACGCCAAAGTGTATTTGACTGCTTTTTTTTGTTTCTCATGATATTGAACATTTTTGGTTAGGGATTTTGCCACAATAACCACATATTTTCATTATTGATCAATGTAATTATTATTTTCTTGATAAGAGGATTAATGATTTGGTCTACATTAAGTCCGGCATTAATTGACATTTTAAGATCAGGTCTTTAAATGTCTTGTTTGTGAACGACTAAACCTTAAAAGCAAATAAATAAATAAAATTCTTCCCACAGAAGAAAGAAGCAAATCCTCCCAATTGAGATTCTGAAACTACGATATATCTGGCATTATTGCTTGATTTTACTTTAATTAACTGTCAAAATGGTTGCTGTTGGTTTCTCTGTCTATTGACTCTCCAATTACCGTTGCAGCTTTGATTTAAGTCTGTTTTAAGAAGTCTTATTTGGCTCTGGAAACCTTTTGAAGGGCTTTTTATCACACATTTCTGACATTTAAAGGACCAAAAGAACAATTGTTTATTGGACTGATTTACAATTATACAAATAATTGTCAGTTGCAGCTCTTAAATGGTGTAAAAGGGGCATTTCTCTCTTATTCCAGCTCTGAGACACCCTGTCGCCCTGCCTGCTGCAGTGACCTGAAGTACAGTACAGTAGAAGTCAGAGGATGCGGATCAATACCTGTATGAAAACAGAGCATGAAGCCTCAGCTCAGTAGGTTGGGCTACTTGTGGAAAAACAGAGTGGAAATAAGAAGGCAGAGTATTGACTGCAGTGAGGTGAGAGCAGGGTAAACAAAATGTGCTTTTCTGAGGAACGAAATGGCTGTGTGTGATGACTCAAATAAATTGAATTGTTTACTTCCTGACACCTAGGTCTGAATGAGTGATATTAGGGAACAGCCTGGTCTGCATGTATCTGTGTGTGTCAGTGATGGTGACAGGCAGGCGAGTGCTGTGTAAAGGCCATAAGCCGCTATCATCCTGCCACAGACTGACTGAGCATTCTTCCCAAAGTGACAAATACTCGCTAAGAGCGGGCTCTCAATGAGATAGGAGCCAGTGAAACTAGAGGCAGCAAGTATCAGACCTAATCCATAATGTATCTGACATGTCTCACATTCATATTTCACACAAAGTCATTATTGAACCTGTGCCAGATCTTGGATTTGCAATACCGTGAAAAGTTTCTGAATCATGAGCCAAATCTCTGCATCTAATAAAACTAAAGCGGGCAGCCAACATTCTCTAAATTCATTAAACATACAGAGGTAAAATGAAATGAGCGACATTATTTGAAAAGCAGTTTGGTAGGAAAATATTCTGCTACATGTTGAAAGTGTATCAATCATTCAAGACATTTATCAAGCAGACCACCAGCCATTCTCTGGTTGCATCTTTTCTGATGTAACTATGAGTCTTGGGCGGACTACACATGTGCACCTTGGACTATGTAACAGACTGTAGTAACAAAACAAGGAATCGATGTAAACATATTCATAACTGTTATGATTATTAGTTGCAGCAGTTGACATTAGTCCAAAAAGTCAAGGTCAACATCCAGAAACGCCTTAGAAGGATATTTCAATCCCGAAAGGCAAACTATGATGTTATAAAGCAGGAGATTCTGTAATTTGTAATTTGAGATAAATATCATTACTCAGATCTATTTACAAATTAAAAAAACAACACAACAAAGTTTGTAGAGGTTACTACAAACTCTGCTGACACTCCAGCAAGAATTCTATATAGATATTAAGTGATTTAAGGTGCCATAGCCTTCTGTATTCGGCCTGAAACCGACAGAATAATGATGTCAAATAAGGAGGTCAATACAGATCAATAACTCATCTGTTGATCAAACTCCACTGTGAGTATTTTCCAGTTAAATCCATCACTCACCTTGCGCAGAGGCAGTGACTCCTCTCCCACAACCATCCGCAAAATCCCGGTGGTTAATCCTTTACGCACCTGTGCCGTAAAATCCGTCAAAACTTAACGGGAGTCTCGTCAGGTGGAGCGTTTGTCGCAAGGCTACTCTTCAACACTGATATCGTGTATATTTCTTGTTTAAAATCGCGCCGTACCGTCCAAAACAAGAACAGAAAACTCCCTCGCGCTGCTCTCTGTCGTGATGCGCGTGTCCTCTAGCGACTCCTCTGTAGTCCGTAGTATCGCGGAGCCGAGAAGAAACGGGGCTCTGTTGATATCATCCACCACTACTCCGACCGAAAGGCACCGAGGAAGGAAAACAAAAACAAAGTAAGCTGCACCAGCGTGAGGGAGGAATGAGGGAGGGGGGAGAAGAGAAGAAGAAAGTGTGAGCAGCTTCAGCGGGATGAATGAAAGACAGAAAGCGCTGTCGGCTCTCCCTGTGTGTGATAGTGTTCACTGAATGCTGGGTTTGCAGAGTGAGTGAGTGGGAGCACTGGTCGAGTGAGTATTTCAGCACAGTGCACCCACATAAATATCATCTTACATAAAAACAGAGAGGGAGAAAAAGCGCCAAAAATCCTGATCATATGCCACAATGACTGTAATAGCGAACCTGTGTTTCATATAGCCTACTAGTCTAATTAAGCGTAATGCTGCTCAGGTGTGCGTCAATCACTTGTCATATTATACTGACAAGATGTTTTGAATGACTTTCAGTCCATCTGAGGAGGTTAACTAATAAGATAAGAGTAAACAAACAATATACAAATATTTCATACCTCCAACTTCTTTCAACAGTAAACTTTATCCATCAAGTCTTTGCTAATGTGCCACTGAAGGTAAACCAATACCAGCAATTTGAAGATGGCACATTGGATGGGTTTGGTCATAATTGTTCTATTTACATGCTCTGTAGACTCAACAAGTAACCAATCAAACTTGAAGAAAGACTGATGTATTTATAATGATAAATAACCAAAAAAGCGAAATACCAAAATGCTACCAAAGCAAATATTTCTAGAGTTGTTCCCTTTCCTACGAAGATGATTGCAGTATTTTGCTGCAGGTCTTATTTTGCAGACAATCTCAGAAAGCCAAATTCCCGCAAATTATCCCATATTTCAGGATGATGTGTTGTCAGGATTTGAATGGACAAACAGTTGCGTTTGAATCCCAATCAAACCAAGACAATACTACACAGCCATGAATCACAGTCCAACTCACAGAAACCCCATGTTTGGTGCCAGAATGTTTTGCATAGCTGACAATAACCTCCCTAGATCTATCAAAAATTGCATTAATTATCTGTGAACCAAAATCACTTGCCAAAGCAATCATATGTACCGAATTTGAGCTGAGCTGAAAAGAATGACATTGCCATGCCCCTTTTTATATATTTTCTCTGTTCAATCATACCAAGTCTTTTTGAAATCCTCAATTTTCTCGCAAGTGTATGGATGTGCATTCATTCCGGGAGAATGGACGCCTATTACACGCTTTCAGAGGCTGACAGCAGCCCTCAGTGATGAAGCCAAACACTTCACAGCTCAGACAATGCACACACGCACACGCACACGCACACGCACACGCACACGCACACACACACGTTTATACACACACACACGCACACACACAGCATGCACTTACAGAACCAAATACACACGAACGCACTGACACAATACGCATTGACGAGATGAAAGGGCCAATTTATCAAACCACCAGCCAAGGCAGGCCTGAGGACGTATAGTGCCAGCATTGGTCTGGAGAAAGAGGGCAAGATGTGTCTGTGTGAGTGTGTGTGTGTTTAACTTTCATGTTTCCTTTGCCGTGACAGTAAAGTCGTTCCTCCTAACATAACATTCACTTTTGCCTTCGGGTAATATTCAAAAGTAAAATGCATTACCTTTTAACGCTGATGCCAGCTGACGTGTCTGCAGGACAAGATAATGTTTAGTTCTTGTGATTGTCCGGTGCTTCGAGTGCATGTGTGTCTGTTTGTTGAAATGAGAAGGAGAGCAAAAGAGAGGGAGGGAGGAATGGTGCTAGTGCCTGTCCCTTGTTATTTCTCATTAAACTGCAAGATCAATGTCCATTCTCAGAGCTTTACAGCATTTACAAGGCCAAACTAATCCACTATTAGAGAGCTGCATGACAGAGCTGCAGAGAAAGGCACAGAGCAGTGCTTAGAGAGAAGCTGTGTTGAAATGAACAAAGAACATCACCAAATTGTGTCTAACTTCTGTAAATATTCTCTCTGAACCTCACAGAGGGTTTGCACAGCACACTGTTGTGTAAGGAGCTCTTCACTGCATGGCATGGTTCACTTTTGGGATGTTGAAAAATGTACAAAAAACGTTTCGTAAGAGAGAGGGTGAGATAGTGACCGGCACAAAGAGAAAAACAAATCTAATGTGATTAAGGTCTTGATATTTGACAGTGACAGATGACAGAGCTGATGTGAGCCAGTATTGAATGATTGGATAGTGAAATGATGGAGGCGCTTCCTGGACAACAGCTACAAAAAACTATGTGCAATGACATTTTGTCCTGTTTTGAAATTTCAATCACTCACTCAACCATTCAATATTTCTAAAATGAATCATTGATTTTTTTTAAATAATGTTGTCCCAATTATTGTAATGCTGCATAATTGGTGTAGGGAATACAATCACAAGCAGACAAAGAAAAAATACAGAATATTTAAAAATAGACAAAGCATACGGAGACTGTTTTCATACAAGCATGACATAGAAGCTTTTGGCAGGTGCAGAATTATGCTGCTTGAATAAATAAATGTAATAATAATTGAACTGACAGAACAACTTATCTACTCCACTTTTGGTGGAAAAGTAAAGCAACGTAGAAACAGATCCTCCAAGGGCGAAAGAGAAATCCACAGAGATTAAATTGATACACCAGCTTTCGTTTGCACTCATCCACCAACTCCCTAGTGTTTATATTTAGATGTGAATAAGAGTGTGTTTATGTGTGAGGGAGAACATTTCAAATGTTAGTCCCCTGATTTTGTGAAGTCGGCTTCAGTGCGGTGCATCTGTTGGGTTTTGGCGGCTGGGATACTGGCCCGCTCCGCTTGATACCGCTCCAAGGTTCGGGGCAGCCTGCTGGCACTGCCAGTTGGTGGCGAGCCTGAGCGACTGGGTTGCTCATTGTATTTAGAAAGTAAGGCAAGCTCCAAGAATCATGGTTTAAAAAGTATTTACAAAACTGATATGCCTTTGTTTGTACATCACAGGTCACAGACACAGACTGCATGTGTCTGTAATAAGTAAGTAGAAAGTAGAAGCATAAGGATACAGACAAATATGGATCCATGTACTCTCCAATAAAGTGTTTATTTGTAACAGGTGAGGGGATAATCCAGAGAGATGTATTTGATTTCAGTAGCATCAGCAACTCTTAACTTCCAGCTCAGATCACTTACACACAGTCATATATAGAGTACAGCTGACACTGATAGCGTACAGAAGGAGCTAATTCAAAGTTAATGTGATCTTGTCGCCACCCTGAACACCAGACAAGGAAGAAGCAGCGAGGACAGAAAGTAAATGATATCCACAGTGTCAACTTCAACACAAATTAACCCTTGTGATTAATGTATTTTCCCGTTGTAATCCACAACCTATTTAAGCAACTCAAACTCAAAGCCCTGCTCTTATTCTTTTAGCAAAGATTGCAATAAATGTATGTGGCTTATGCCTTACGTAAGCACAATTATGGAACATTTCTATTCATGAACAACTCTCCTTAAACCTACAAAACATGTCACTTCATTTATGCAAACCCTCATTCTTTTCTTAAGTCATTCAGTTTTAACCTTCCCGTTTTCCTCACAATTCAGTCTGCTTAACGTGATTCATAGCGAGATTGCAGACAGATCTATGTCAGCCCCCCACTGTACAAACATGATACTTGTCATCAGATGTCTAGAGCTGTATTTTTACACTAACAACATGAAGGAGGGGGATATGCATTAGAGACTGTCACGGGGTTGATGTGTTATTATTTTAGAGAGTTCTAGCTATTTCATACCAATACTTGATCATCATTTAAATCTGCTGAATCTTTCATTGTAACACTTTACAAAGAAACATATTCTAAATATTGTTTCCTTTTACTTTACACAGTAGCACGTCTGTAGTTACAACCATAAAAACGCTGTACTTGCCTCATTAGGAGATAATCAATATGGTGCTGCTTTTGGAGAGTGGTGACTTTTGTTGATCTCCATCCATGCACATTTAATGTATCCTGCTGCGCTGCAAATGCTGTCCTCATTTCTCTGAGCATGTGGTCTGCAGTTGGTAGCTGAGGCCATCTAGAGGAAGAATGAGCACATTGCAACCTTCAGTGTGTTTGTGTGCCTTATACCAATTAACCCTTCTCTTGCGTTTCGGGTCAAAAGTGACCGAATGACTTTTGTTTTAATCATAAATATTGTGTTTTTCATCCAATTGCCTCAATACCTTATGTTATCCTCCACACTAGGCCTCTGAACATATACACTTGATGATCACCACTTGCATTGCATTTTGAGTGATTTATTCAACAGTGAAACACCCTTGATGTTTTCGGTCAGAATTGACCGCCATAGAAAATGAATGGGTATGAGTGTATTATGTTCATCCTGCAGATGGAAAACATCTCTCCACACACACACACACACACACACACACACACACACACACACACACACACACACACACACACACACACACACACACACACACACCTCTCCCTTTCTCGCGCTGTATGATACAATGATAACAATCATACCTTCTCACAGGTGCGAGCTCTGTGCCCCTCTCAAGCTGTTATATTTGTGCCTTGCTCACATTTGACTCATTGACACAATGAGCAGGCGACCGATTAGGCGATTTTCTGTACGAGAGGCTCTGGACACATTTTTTGAACCAGATGAAGAGGAGATTGAACCAGATGAAGAGGAGATAGAGGAAGATGTCTCAGAAATGGAAGACAACAGCGATCCAGACTATGAGCCTACAACAGACCAGGAAGAGGCACCTGAGGGAGAGGCCCCTGAGGGAGAGGAGGGAGAGGCCCCTGAGATAGAGGCCCCTGAGGGCACACACACACACACACACACACACACACACACACACACACACACACACACACACACACACACACACACGTTCTGTTAAGGTATATTTGTCTTTCAATAAATGTTCATTGAGGAAAACAGTATCAGTGTCTTATTTTATATTCATCACAGTGAATGCTGAACCTGATGGGCCCACCGGTGGGTCCGGACCATGACATGAAACACTGGCTTGCTTGTATCAAATCAATACATCCCATACATCATTGGAACGGGTCCATCTCCAGTAAA